AGCCCTGTCCCAAACCCCCCAACCTGCCATGCCCCAAACACCCCGACCCCAACCCCAACCTTCCCCAAACACCCCAAACCCAAACCCAACCTGCCCCAAACCCCCAACCCCATCTCCCAGACTTATTGCAGGATAAATACAGTAGTCTATTATATTATATAAGAGTTTATTTCAACTAACATGCTATTTACTCGGAAACAGTTACTTGTTAAACTTTTCAAGATATGTAAAATTTTGGAAAGCCTAAACTGTTATAAATTTACTCATCAAAACATTTGGGACATGTACATATATTTTGGTAATATGCTTAATTCATTAGTACCCCTTGTGGAATGAAAATAATGCGGTATGATCACACCTACTTTATGTCCCAATAAACATAATGATGTATGATCACACCTACTTTATGTCCCAATGAACCTAATGCTGTATGATCACACCTACTTTATGTCCCAATAAACATAATGATGTATGATCACACCTACTTTATGTCCCAATGAACCTAATGCTGTATGATCACACCTACTTTATGTCACATAATGATGTATGATCACACCTACTTTATGTCCCAATAAACATAATACTGTATGATCACACCTACTTTATGTCCCAATAAACATAATGCTGTATGATCACACCTACTTTATGTCCCAATAAACATAATGCTCTATGATCACACCTACTTTATGTCCCAATGAACCTAATGCTGTATGATCACACCTACTTTATGTCCCAATAAACATAAGGCTGTATGATCACACCTACTTTATGTCTCAATAAACATAATGCTGTATGATCACACCTTCTTTATGTCCCAATGAACCTAATGCTGTATGATCACACCTACTTTATGACCCAATAAACATAATGCTGAATGATCACACCTACTTTATGTCCCAATGAACCTAATGCTGTATGATCACACCTACTTTATGCCCCAATAAACATAATGCTGTATGATCACCCCTACTTTATGTCACATAATGCTGTATGATCACCCCTACTTTATGTCCCAATAAACATAATGCTGTATGATCACACCTACTTTATGTCACATAATGATGTATGATCACACCTACTTTATGTCCCAATAAACCTAATGCTGTATGATCACACATACTTTATGTCCCAATAAACCTAATGCTTTTGCTGTACCTAACTTTCAACATTAGCTTTTGCTGTAACAGTTTTTTTAGAGGCTAGTGCTAATATATATCTGTAGTTAGAATTGGTTGATTATACCGGTATATTGTAACCAACTAATTATAGTTATATCTTCAGAAGTTGAAGTACATATACTGCAAGAAGAACTAAAGTCATTAAAATTGTATTGTTTTATTTTCGAAGTGCTTCAGCTGTACAACACCAAGTGGTGCAATATAGTACACTTCAAAATTGTTGCAAATTATAAAAATCATATTCATTTCTTATTAGCAATGAAGTAAAAGATTGATTTCTAGTTTCTGTTGAGTTTCAATAGATCAAAATCAGCTTCAACATTTTCTATATTAAGAATATCTTTTTATATCATAAAATTCTGACATTAATTAACACTTCTTGTTCAGTGTTAGACATCTTTACTTTGACTCATAGGTGATCACCCTTGTATTTGCTCTGTATTTAGCTTCAGTGCGAAGGAGTGCAAAAAGACCACAGTGGTAAAGAAAACAGGGATTTCCCAGTCAGCACCACAGCTCAGGATCCTGCTTCCTCACTGTCCTCCATACAGAGGTATGTCACAGTACCAAACTAGCCTTCTTTATCATTTGTCATACTCCAGTTGGCATTCATATTTACTATATTTACTTCATGCTCAATATGTTATCAAGAATAAATAAAGCCTTTTTTTATACGACCGTCAAATTTGACGGTAGTATTATGGTATGGCGTTGTCCGGCCGGCCAGCGTAAACTTTGTTTGTCCGGCAATCTCCTCCTACATTTTTCGACCGATCTATTTGAATCTTGGTATACATTATAATCATGATATGAAGTGGTGTCTTCTTTAAAAGAATTTTGATTCAATGATTTTTACAAAATTTATTGCCTTTTGTTCATTTCAGTATTTGATTTTTTGTCCGAAGATTTTCTCCTACATTTTTATAGCATATCAGCTAACCGCTCTTAGAATGATGCAGATCTTATTTCAATGTAAGAAAGTATATAACACTATATGGCATTCGACGGGCGTATTTGTTCCGCCCCGCAGGTACTCTTGTTATTATTAGTACAATAGCTTAGGGGAAATTGGAGAGGTTTACAAGTTTGAATGATATTCTCGATTTTAAAGTAAAAGTGATTCCTGGTTCTACCTGTGAACTCTTAATCTCCTCAGGGCTGACACAGTGATGCTGAAACCAAGCTTGGATAAAGAGGACCAATCCTTTGACGTTTCGACATCAGACACTTCTTTGCTGGACCAATCACAGGTCAGTTGCTTGGTATTCTTGTTAGGTCTTGGGACATGTTTTTTTAGGGCATGGCAGGGTTCATACCTTTTAAAAGGTTCATTTATGGGAATGGACCTTTGATAGTTATCTGTCTAGAAAAGCTTTTCAGTTTTGAAGTTATCAGTATAATGAATTGGACATTTTATCTCAGTATTAAAACAAATTTGTATCTGTACATATTTGAGCTAGACATCATTTCAGAATAGTTTTGATCTGTGATCAGACAGGGAAATACCCACCTGCAGAAACTTAGAAGCTGGGATTTTTTTTTACTTTTTTAAAATTGTTTTGATTGCAATGCAAGTGTAAATTTCAAACGTTGATGTTTAAAAAGGGTTATTAGCAGTTTCGTTCTACTTGCAGAACAAGGCAATGACCCCGAGACAGAAAGTGACATTAAACAAGAGTTTCTCGGTGCGTAAACGTCAGATGTCTCTCTACACAGGCCTCAACAAGTCTTTCTCAAAGGTAAGCACAAGAACCTTTAATATTCAGTATAATGGATACTAATGGATAGCTTATAGGAATCAGTCTAGGCTCTGTGTAGTATCAGTTAGTATGGCTTTTATCTTGACTGAAAAGTTGAAAAGTACTTTAATTAATTTATTAGCTTGCTGGGTCCTAAGGACCAAGGAGACTTTATGCCATACCATGTCGTCCGTCCGTCAACAATTTCTTCAAAAGACTTCTTCTTCTTAATGACTGATTGAAATTTCACTAAATTTGACTGGAAGCATCCCTAGGTGGTGGCGAGACACTGACATTATAAGTGAGACACTGACATTATAAGTGAGACACTGACATTATAAGCGAGATGCTGACATTATAAGCGAGACGCTGACATTATAAGCGAGACGCTGACATTATAAGTGAGACGCTGACATTATAAGCGAGACGCTGACATTATGAGCGAGACGCTGACATTATGAGCGAGACGCTGACATTATAAGCGAGACGCTGACATTATAAGCGAGACGCTGACATTATAAGCGAGACGCTGACATTAT